ATGGGACTCCCAATCACGGCCGGTTGTGATACAGCCTGGAATCGAACCAGGGGGTCTGTAGTGACACCTCAAGCACTGAGATGCAGTGCCTTAGACCGCTGAGATGCAGTGCCTTAGACCGCTGAGATGCAATGCCTTAGACCGCTGAGATGCAGTGCCTTAGACCGCTGAGATGCAGTGCCTTAGACCGCTGAGATGCAGCACCTTAGACCCCTGAGATGCAGTGCCTTAGACCGCTGAGATGCAGTGCCTTAGACCGCTGAGATGCAGTGCCTTAGACCGCTGAGATGCAGTGCCTTAGACCGCTGAGATGCAGTGCCTTAGACCCCTGAGATGCAGTGCCTTAGACCGCTGAGATGCAGTGCCTTAGACCGCTGAGATGCAGTGCCTTAGACCACTGAGATGCAGTGCCTTAGACTGCTGAGATGCAGTGCCTTAGACTGCATCTCAGCAGTCTAAGGCACTGCATCTCAGCAGTGCCTTAGACCGCTAAGATGCAGTGCCTTAGACCGCTGAGATGCAGTGCCTTAGACCGCTGAGATGCAGTGCCTTAGACCGCTGAGATGCAGCGCCTTAGACCGCTGAGATGCAGTGCCTTAGACTGCTGAGATGCAGTGCCTTAGACCGCTGAGATGCAGTACCTTAGACTGCTGAGATGCAGTGCCTTAGACCGCTGAGATGCAGTGCCTTAGACCGCTGAGATGCAGTGCCTTAGACCGCTGAGATGCAGTGCCTTAGACCGCTGAGATGCAGTGCCTTAGACCGCTGAGATGAGATGCAGTGCCTTAGACCGCTGAGATGCAGTGCCTTAGACCGCTGAGATGCAGTGCCTTAGACCGCTAAGATGCAGTGCCTTAGACCGCTGAGATGCAGTGCCTTAGACCGCTGAGATGCAGCGCCTTAGACCGCTGAGATGCAGTGCCTTAGACTGCTGAGATGCAGTGCCTTAGACCGCTGAGATGCAGTACCTTAGACTGCTGAGATGCAGTGCCTTAGACCACTGAGATGCAGTGCCTTAGACCGCTGAGATGCAGTGCCTTAGACCGCTGAGATGCAGTGCCTTAGACCGCTGAGATGCAGTGCCTTAGACCCCTGAGATGCAGTGCCTTAGACCGCTGAGATGCAGTGCCTTAGACCGCTGAGATGCAGTGCCTTAGACCGCTGAGATGCAGTGCCTTAGACCGCTGAGATGCAGTGCCTTAGACTGCATCTCAGCAGTCTAAGGCACTGCATCTCAGCAGTGCCTTAGACCGCTAAGATGCAGTGCCTTAGACCGCTGAGATGCAGTGCCTTAGACCGCTGAGATGCAGTGCCTTAGACCGCTGAGATGCAGTGCCTTAGACCGCTGAGATGCAGCGCCTTAGACCGCTGAGATGCAGCGCCTTAGACCGCTGAGATGCAGCGCCTTAGACCGCTGAGATGCAGTGCCTTAGACCGCTGAGATGCAGTGCCTTAGACCGCTGAGATGCAGTGCCTTAGACCGCTGAGATGCAGTGCCTTAGACCGCTGAGATGCAGTGCCTTAGAGCGCTGAGATGCAGTGCCTTAGACCGCTGCGCCACTCGGTCTGTAGTGACGCCTCTAGCCCTGAGATGCAGTGCCTTAGAGCGCTGAGATGCAGTGCCTTAGACCGCTGAGATGCAGTGCCTTAGACCGCTGAGATGCAGTGCCTTAGAGCGCTGAGATGCAGTGCCTTAGACCGCTGCGCCACTCGGTCTGTAGTGACGCCTCTAGCCCTGAGATGCAGTGCCTTAGACCCCTGCGCCACTCGGGAGCCCCGAAGATGACGCGGATGCTACGCTACAGGTCTGTTTAGCTAGCACAGACTGGAATATATTTCCAGGATTCATCCAATGGCATTGAGGAGTACACCACCTCAGTCACTGGTTTAATCAATAAGTGCATCGATGACGTCGTCCCCACAGTGACCGTACGTACATATCCCAACCAGAAGCCATGGATTACAGGCAACATCTGCACCGAGCTAAAGGCTAGAGCTGCCGCTTTCAAGGAGCGGGACACTAACCCGGACGATTATAAGAAATCCCGCTATGCCCTCAGATGAACGATCAAACAGGCAAAGCGTCAATACAGGACCAAGATCGAATCGTACTACACCCGCTCTGACGCTCGTCGGAAGTGTCAGGGATTGCAAACTATTACAGACTACAAACGGAAGCATAGCCACGAGCTGCCCAGTGACACAAGACTTCCAGACGAGCTAAGTTGCGTCTATGCTCGCTTCGAGGCAAGTAACACTGAAACATGCATGAGAGCATCAGCTGTTCTGGATGACTGTGTGATCACGCTCTCCGTAGCCGTTGTGAGTAAGACCTTTAAACAGGTCAACATTCACAAGGCCGCAGGGCCTGACGGATTACCAGGACGTGTACTCAGAGCATGCGCTGACCAACTGGCAAGTGTCTTCACTGACATTTTCAACATGTCCCTGACTGAGTCTGTAATACCAACATGTTTCAAGCAGACCACCATAGTCCCTGTGCCCAAGAACACTAAGGTAACCTGCCTAAATGACTACCGACCCGTAGCACTGACGTCTGTAGCCATGAAGGGCTTTGAAAGGCTGGTCATGGCTCACATCAACACCATTATCCCAGAAACCCTAGACCCAATCCAATTTGCATACTGCCCCAACAGATCCACAGATGATGCAATCTCTATTGCACTCCACACTGCCCTTTCACATCTGGACAAAAGGAACACCTATAGAGAATGCTATTCATTGACTACAGCTCAGCGTTCAACACCATAGTGCCCAAAAAGCTCATCACTAAGCTAAGGACCCTGGGACTAAACACCTCCCTCTGCAACTGGATCCTGGACTTCCTGTCTGGCCGCCCCCAGGTGGTAAGGGAAGGTAACAACACATCCGCCATACTGATCCTCAACACGGGGGCCCCTCAGGAGTGCGTGCTCAGTCCCCTCCTGTACTCCCTGTTCACCCATGACTGCATGGCCAGGCATGACTCCAACACCATCATTAAGTTTGCCGATGACACAAAAGTGGTAGGCCTGATTACCGACAACGACGAGACAGCCTATAGGGAGGAGGTCAGAGACCTGGCCGTGTGGTGCCAGGACAACAACCTCTCCCTCAACATGATCAAGACAAAGGAGATGATTGTGGACTACAGGAAAAAGAAGAGGACCGAACACGCACCCATTCTCATCGACAGGGCTGTAGTGGAGCAGGTTGAGAGCTTCAAGTTCCTTGGTGTCCACATCACCAACAAACTAACATGGTCCAAGCACACCAAGACAGTCATGAAGAGGCCACGACAAAACCTATTCCCCCTAAGGAGACTTAAAAGATTTGGCATGGGTCCTCAGATCCTCAAAAGGTTCTACAGCTGCACCATCGAGAGCATCCTGACTGGTTGCATGCATCACCGCCTGGTATGGCAACTGCTCAGCCTCCGACCGCAAGGCACTACAGAGGGTAGTGCGTACGGCCCAGTACATCACTGGGGCCAAGCTTCCTGCCATCCAGGATCTCTATACCAGGAGGTGTCAGAGGAACGCCCTAAAAATTGTCAAAGACTCCAGCCACCCTAGTCATAGACTGTTCTCTCTGCTACCGCACGGCAAGCGGTACCGGAGCGCCAAGTCTAGGTCCAAGAGGCTTCTAAACAGCTTCTACCCCCAAGCCATAAGAATCCTGAACATCTAATCAAATGGCTACCCAGACTATTTGCACTGCCCCCCCCCCACCCCTCTGTTACGCTGCTGCTACTCTCTGTTTATTATCTATGCATAGTCACTTTAAGAACTCGACCTACATGTACATATTACCCCAATTACCTCGACTAACCGGTGCCCCCGCAAATTGACTCGGTACCGGTACCCCCTGTATATAGCCTTGCTATTGTTATTTTTTCTGCTGCTCTTTAATTATTTGTTGCTTTTATTTCGTATTATTTTATATTGTATTTTTTTGTGATTGTATTTTTTTTGGTATTCTTTCTTAAAACTGCATTGTTGGTTAAGGGCTTGTAAGTAACATTAGGCTATAAATAGCAATGCAAATGGATTTATGATTCAAATAATATTACTACACGGATCATACATGTGACGTTAGCTAGCGAGCAGCAAGCTAAAGTTTATGCTAGCTAGCTAACACCATGCTTTAACTTGCAATGAAAATGACAAAATTAGAATATGAATCTGATATCTGAAAATGTAGCTGGATTCTTACCTGTATACATGGATGAACAGGTAAGATTATGATACAGGACCTAGATCTACCATTACTAGAGACTGATACAGGACCTAGATCTACCACTTGATGGCACTGTTAGTCTGTCTCAGCTGGTTACAATGTAAAGTGTTAGTGTAAAGCTTGGTGGATGAAAAGAGAGCAGTGTGTGTGTACCTGGTTGAGCTGCGCCCCACCAGGTGGCTGTGTGTTCCTGTTTAGCAGCAGCTCTTTAACAGCAGTGGCCAGGCCCAGCGTTGCTTTAGGACTGGGAACCAGGTTAAATGGAACGGGCAGGGTCCTGCCTTCCTCAAAGTAGGAGAACCACAGCTTGGCACGGGCAAACTTCCACTCCACATCAGCATCATCCTAGAAGGAGATAGAGAGAGAGAGAGAGAGAGAGAGAGAGAGAGAGAGACAGATAGAGAGCTAGAGAATAGAGGAGATACGAGAATATACATATCCTCTATAGATCGAGAGATTCTGTCGCCTATCTATCGAAGATCTCTGCTCTCTATCTATCGCTTAAGCTCTCTCGTACCGTATGCCGGACTCTCATAGCTCTATGACGCACATAGAGATCAAATACGAATATATGCTCTCCTATCTGACTCATATCTCTCTCTCCGTCTCTCTCTCGTCTCTCTCTCCTATTCTCCTCTCTCCTCTTACTCTCTCTCGTTCCTCTCATCTCTCTTCTCCCTGTATACATTTCTCTCTAAACGCACGTAAATCTTTTTCAGTATTTAACCCATATTCAGAGTGCGTAGCTCAGTTTGAAGTGGTTACCTCTTCTCCTGTAAGACTTTGATCATAGCGATCAGCATGTTGAGCAGAACGATCACCATGGTAACATTATAAACACCATACAGCACGTAGCCGATGTTTCTCAATGAACTTGTGATCGTTGTATAATGACCTACTACCACCGACTTCAACCTCCCCTCAGAACCGAAGATCGCCCAAAACGAGGTCTATAAAGCTCTTCCTCGGACTTGAGGAGGGATGGGGGGGGGAAGGAAGGAGGAGGGAGGGGGAGGAGTGTGACAGAGATGATACCTATGTTAGTTCCTCTTCGTCTTTTTTCAGCGGGGCCGTTTCATCTTTTTTGTAGTTTTGTGCTTGGCTCTTTTCTTTCCCCCTTTTTCCTTTTCCGTTTTTCCCTTTTTTTCTTTCTTTTTCTTCCCCACCTTTCTTGTTCTCCTTTTGGGGTTTTTGGGGGGGGGGGGGGGGTACCTGTAGCAGCCACTCTACGCAGCCAGGCCCAGTTAGAGGACTGACCGGTCAGACCGGGCAGGACGCCAAAGTTGAACGTTGACGGCAACTCCACACACCAGATATAGAGAAAAGGGAGATAGTATAAAGAGAGAAGCGGAAGAGATAGAGAGAGAGATAGAGAGAGAGAGAGAGGAGAGAAGACAGGCAGAATCGTATATATGGTTGAAACAAGACTGGCTTCCCTCTCAAGAAACGTAGCTTTCCCAAATTTGACTTCCAACGCCCCTTTAAACCATAGAAGAGTATTTTAAGAAAGAGTTTAAATAGTTTTCATAAGAGATATATACGTCTACGGGGAAAGCTCTTTTCAGCTTCTTCTCGCTATCTCCTTCGGTTAAAACGTTAAAATAATTTTTCAGCTTCCCCATTTCAAGTGCTTTTGAAGTTCAAGTGTGGGCCCCATCCTGAAGATTTGTTTCATAGACCGATGAAAATTTGGGGTTTAATTAAACACAACTCACTCCTATTCTCATCTTGGATGTTTTTAAACATTCTCCACTATCCACGACTTAATCTCATCGGCGGATGGCCCCAAAAGAGTTTAAAATCTACTACTGAGGCAGAGGGGAGAAACTGTGAGTTGGAGGAAGGGGAGGTAGGGGAAGAGGGGGGTTTTTCGCTGTGGATCGGGGGGGTGGGGGGGACGGGGGTCGGTGAGGGAGGGGGGGGGGGGGGGGAGGTTTTGGGGGAGGATGGGGGGGTGGGGTGGGTGGTGGGGGGAGGGGGGGGTACGGTTTGTGGAAATAAAAACCATTATAATGAAAATAAAGCCCTATGTAACGGACTGGGTTGAAACCTTCTGAATTAGCCTGCTGAGCTAAAGGCTACATGGAAGTTGTTTCTGTGTAGGAGTAGTGTGTGTGAATGTGTTACGTGGTAAAGGCATGGTTCTGCTTGGCCCCCAGGTAGTAGGAGTGTGTGTGAATGTGTTACGTGGTAAAGGCGTCGTTCTGCTTGGCCCCCAGGTAGTAGGAGTAGAGGTTGAACATTCCGATCATAAACGCCAGGAACACCAGGATGAAGATCACCATGAACTTCAAGATGTCTGCAACGTACGCACACACACACACACACACACACACACACACACCACACACACACACACACACACACACACAAACAAACACACACACACGGGAAGGGTGAGAAAGTTATATAATCAGGGAGATTAACAGAGAGGTTATTGTGGTGTTAGGGTTATATATGATATAATCAGGGAGATTAACAGAGAGGTTATTGTGGTGTTAGGGTTATATATGATATAATCAGGGAGATTAACAGAGAGGTTATTGTGGTGTTCCTCAAGGCTCTGTGTTGGGACCTTTACTGTTCTCATCCGATTCCATCTACAAAGGAGTATTCATGGTTTGCTCTTACGTCACCTGGTCGCGTCACGCCATCGTTATCAATGTTCTCAAGACTCATAGTGATGCTCAGTCATTCTTTAAGGAGGCTAATGATTGTTTTGTTTTAATTACAAAGTATTGGCCTTGAAATATGACAATGTTAATACAGTAATAATAAAATAATTAGTAGGAAACAACTTTGTCATCATTATGTCGTCAATTTTACTTTAGACAGAATGTTGTCATTAGCAAGCAAGGTACGTCAAAAATACTTAGCAATACTAAAGTTAGATAGCTAAGATCCGGTGCTCTCCCCTCACTCTTGGCTATATAGTTAACGTTATCCTACATGTAAAGTAAATTTGACGACATCACAATGATGACAAAAGGTTTTCCTACTAGTGATTTGCCTCCTTTAGAAATGTCATTGTAATGCACTTTAGAATGAATCTTTATGAACACCAATTGAGAATGCAGTGAGTAGAACATCCACCCAGAAACCTACCAGCTCTCACAGTCTCATGTCAGAATTAGACGTTCAACCATGTTTCTCAAACGTCAAATTTCAAAGTTGTTCCAAGAATAACATTTTGAAGTGTTTAAGGTTATGTTTAGGCATTAACTCCGATTTCATTTTTAAGGTTAGAGTTCAGTTCAGGCGTTAACTCAAAATTCTTAAGGTTAGGCATTAACTCTGATTGGTTGGTTAAGGTAAGGGTTAAGGTTTGGGATAGGCTTAAAACAAAATGACCAAAAACAACTTTACATCACTGGATTCACACTTGCAAACTTCGGAATAAGCGGCAGATGCTCACGCCCATCCGCCATCCCTGTCCATAACACTCTAGCGAAACGGAAAACCTGGACGGTAACACCGCTCACTGCTGCCCCTAGTGGGCGCTTTACCACGTCACCTCATGACATCCTCAGACATGGATGGATGTCAAATATTGAATTGTGTCTTGGGTGACCTGGCTGCAATAATAGCAGTTAGTCAGGTACGTACCTTTAACAGTGCGTCCCAGTGATATCTGCAGCGGTCCGAAGCTTTCATTAGCCGGCAGGATGTAGGCGATGCGGCTGAAACTGAGCACCACTGCAACCGCATACAGCCCCTCAGATACCAGCTGGGGGTCAGATGGCAACCAGGAGAGACGAGCTGGGGTGGGGGGGGGGTGGGGGGGTGGTTGGTTGGTTGGTTGATTCAATGATTGATTGACTCAAGTCCAAGTCGTGTGTGTGTGTGTGTGTGTGTGTGTGTGTGTGTGTGTGTGTATGTGCATGTTTACTCACCCAGTGTGTAGTAGTGTATGTGTGGTGGAAGGGTGATGTTGTCCAGCGTAGAGAGGTGGGTGTGGTGTGTGTGGACATATAGTTGGGCTGAGTGGGCGTGGTTATAGGCAGAGAGGCGGGAACTGAAGGACCCCAGGAAGATGGCCAACATTCCAAAGTCCAGGAAGTTCCAGGGTTCTAAGAGGTATTCTCCCGCTCCCTGGGACCAAATCTCCTTCACCTCCGCCCAAATCATACCTGAGGAAGGGAGTTAGTAGCTCATAGATACTCCTTTCACCTCAGTTCAGATCATACCGCTTGACTTACTTTACATTTAGTTGTAGTACATTCTGAATTCAAATTAGATTAAATATATGTTTTTCTCATCCATCTACACACAGTACCCCATAATGACAAAGTGAAAACATGTTTTTAGAAATGTTTGCTAATTTATTGAAAATGAAATACAGAAGTATCTAATTTCCATAACCCCTGAGTCAATACATGTTAGAATCACCTTTGCCAGCGATTTCAGCTGTGAGTCTTTCTGGGTAAGTCTTTAAGAGTTTTTCACACCTGGATTGTTCAATATTTGCAGATCATTATTTTTTACATTCTTCAAGCTCTGTCAAGTTGGTTGTTGATCATTGCTAGACAGCCATTTTCAAGTCTTGCCATAGATTTTCAAGCCGATTTAAGTCAAAACTGTAACTATGCCTCTCAGGAACATTCAATGTCATGTGGGTAAGCAACTCATATATATATGTTTTAGGTTATTATCCTGATGAAAGGTGAATTTGTCTGTTGGAAAGCAGACTGAACCAGGTTTTCCTCTAGGATGTTGCCTGTGCTTAGCTCTATTCCGTACATTTTTTATCCAAAAAACTCCCTAGTCCTTGCCGATGACAAGCATACCCATAACATGATGCAGCCACCACCATGCTTGAAAATATGAAGAGTGGTACTCAGTGATGTATTGTGTTGGATTTGCCCCAAATAATTTTTTGCAGTTTTACTTTAGTGCCTTGTTGCAAACAGGATTCATATTTTAGAATAATTTTTATCCTGTACAAACGTCCTTCTTTTCACTCGGTCATTTAGGTTAGTATTGTGGAGTAATGGTTGACTTCCGGTCGGGCGATGTAAGAAGACGTGTTTGAGAGAGGTCCCCAATTAAACTTTTATTTTAAAGTTTTTACACGCCACTGTTAGTTTTCATGTTGATGTATCAGTTGGTTATATTCTTTAATCACTTTTTATGGTAGCATGAGCAAGACCAACCCAAGGAGAACTGCTACGACCAACACATCGTCGAACCAACTACCTAAAATGGCTGCCGCGACAATCCCTGGCCTTGTCTATGACCTTGTAGCTGAGCTAGCTAAACAAAGAAGTAGCCTAAAAGAGGATATGGCTTCTCATCAGTACTTCAATGGCACCACTCCAAACTTTCCATTGACGCCTTTCGAGAAACAGTCAACACGTTTGGGCGACGCCTCAATACACTAGAAGGTTTCTCCACTGACAACACCGAGCGGACTGCCGAGCTAGAGGCAGCTGTATCTCATATGAAAACGGCCAACAGAGCTCTACATTCCAAGGTAGAATCATTGGAGAATTATACCAGAAGGGAAAACATCCGGATCATTGGCGTCATGGAGGGAATTGAGACTGGAGTCAACGCTGTGAAATTTGTCTCCGACATGCTGATGGAAGTGATGGGTAACGGTGTCTTTGATAACATGCTGGTGGAAGTGATGGGTGATGGGTAACGGTGTCTTTGACAACATGCTGATGGAAGTGATGGGTAACGGTGTCTTTGACAACATGCTGGTGGAAGTGATGGGTGATGGGTAACGGTGTCTTTGACAACATGCTGGTGGAAGTGATGGGTGATGGTTAACGGTGTCTTTGACAACATGCTGGTGGATGTGATGGGTGATGGGTAACGGTGTCTTTGATAACATGCTGGTGGAAGTGATGGGTGATGGGTAACGGTGTCTTTGATAACATGCTGGTGGAAGTGTCAGAAACGGGCGTAGGTGTGGTGTGGGAATCAAATGCAGGATGCAGATGCAAGTCCAAAAATACTTTAATAAAGTCCACAGAATGAACGGCTACAAACAGAGCCGGAGGCACGAGAAAAATAACGCTCTCAGCGTAAAAATACAACACACGCACAACAGTGCGGAACTCTCTATAAAAATAGAGCACGAACGGAATGGCAACACCTGCTGACATGGAACAACTACACACAACCACAAGACAGAAACAACGAGAACTTAAAGGACACATAATCAAGACAAAATGAGAAACAGGTGTACCAAAACAGACCAAACCAAACAAACACAGAAACAACGAACGGTGGCAGCTAGTACTCCGGGGACGACGACCGCCGAAGCTTGCCCGAAAAAGGAGATGGAGCAGCCTCGGCAGAAACCGTGACAGTACTCCCCCCCTTGACGCGCGGCTCCAGCCGTGCGCCGACCCCGGCCTCGGGGACGACCAGGAGGACGCGGAGCAGGGCGCGTGGGATGACCACGATGGAACTCAGTCAGAAGGGACGGGTCTAAGATATCTCTCCTCGGCACCCAGCACCGCTCCTCCGGAGCGTACCCCTCCCACTCCACGAGATATTGGAGACCCCCCATCCGGCGTCTCGAATCCAGGATGGACCGAACTGTGTACGCCGGAGCCCCCTCGATGTCCAGCGGGGGCGGAGGAGTCTCTGCTATCTCACAGTCCTGGAGTGGACCAGCTACCACCGGCCTGAGGAGAGACACATGGAACGAGGGGTTAATATTCTTATAATCAATAGGAAGTTGTAATCTGTAACACACCTCGTTCAACCTCCTCAGGACTTTAAAAGGCCCCACAAACCGCCGACCCAGCTTCCGGCAGGGCAGGCGGAGGGGCATGTTTCTGGTTGAGAGCCAGACTCGATCTCCTGGTGCGTACACCGGTCCCTCACTGCGGTGGAGATCGGCGCTCGCCTTGTGTCGACGCCTTGTGTCGCAGATGTACGTGAGCAGCGTTCCACGTCTCCTCCGAGCGCCGCACCCACTCATCCACCGCAGGGGCCTCGATCTGGCTCTGATGCCAGGGTGCCAGAGCCGGCTGGTACCCTAATACACATTGGAAAGGAGTGAGTCTGGTGGAGGAGTGGCGAAGGGAGTTCTGGGCCATCTTGGCCCAGGGAACATACCTCGCCCACTCCTCCGGCTGGCCCTGGCAATACGACCTCAGAAACCTACCCACATCCTGGTTTACCCGTTCAACCTGCCCATTGCTCTCCGGGTGGTACCCCGAGGTAAGGCTCACCGAGACCCCCAAGCGCTCCATGAACGCTCTCCAGACTCGAGAGGTAAACTGGGGGCCTCGATCAGACACTATATCCTCGGGTACCCCGTAATGCCGGAAGACGTGAGTGAATAGTGCCTCAGCGGTCTGTAGGGCAGTGGGGAGACCCGGCATGGGAAGGAGACGACAGGCCTTCGAGAACCGATCCACAACGACCAGGATGGTGGTATTTCCCTGGGAGGGGGGAAGGTCAGTAACGAAATCCACCGAGAGGTGAGACCAGGGTCGTTGTGGAACGGGCAGGGGTTGTAGCTTACCCCGGGGCAGGTGTCTGGGTGCCTTACACTGGGCACACACCGAGCAGGAGGAAACATAAACCCTCACATCCCTGGCTAACGTTGGCCACCAGTACTTAGTGCTAAGGCAGTGCACCGTCCGGCCAATCCCTGGATGTCCAGAGGAGGGTGACGTGTGAGCCCAATATATAAGTCGATCCCGAACCTCGAGCGGAACGTACTTCCGACCCACAGGACACTGTGGAGGGCTAGGATCGGTACGCAACGCCCGCTCGATTTCGGAATCGACCTCCCACACCACCGGTGTCACCAGGCAAGACGGCGGGAGTATGGGCGTGGGCTCAACGGACCTCTCCTCCGTGTCATACCGCCGGGACAGGGCATCTGCCTTACCGTTCTGGGACCCAGGGATGTACGTGATCTTAAAAACAAACCGGGCCAGAAACATGTTCCACCTAGCCTGGCGAGGGTTCAGTCTCCTAGCTGCCCGGATGTACTCCAGGTTTCGGTGGTCAGTCAAAATGAGGAAAGGGTGTTGAGCCCCCTCAAGCCAATGCCTCCACACCTTTAGGGCCTGGACCACGGCTAGCAGCTCCCTGTCCCCCACGTCATAATTTCGCTCCGCCGGACTGAGCTTTTTAGAGTAAAAAGCACAGGGGCGGAGTTTCAGTGGCGTGCCAGACCGTTGCGAGAGCACGGCCCCTATACCGGCTTCAGATGCGTCTACCTCGACCTGGAATGGTAGCGCGGGATCCGGATGCGCCAGCACCGGCGCCGAGGTAAACAGGTCCTTCAGTCTCCCAAAAGCCCTATCAGCCTCAGCAGACCACTGCAAGCGCACCAGACCTCCCTTTAGAAGAGACGTTATGGGAGCTGCCACCTGTCCAAAACCCCGGATAAACCTCCTGTAGTAATTCGCAAAGCCCAAGAACCGCTGCACCTCTTTAACAGTGGTTGGAGTTTGCCAATTACGCACGGCCGACACACGGTCAACCTCCATCTTTACCCCTGACGCAGACAACTGATAACCCAAAAAGGAGACAGACTCCTGGAAAAACAAACATTTCTCTGCCTTGATATACAGGTCATGCTCCAACAATCTCCTCAACACTCGGCGCACCAGGGCTACATGCTCGGCTCGGGTAGAAGAATACACCAGAATGTCGTCAATGTACACGACCACTCCTTGCCCCTGCATATCCCGGAAGATCTCATCTACGAAGGATTGGAAGACTGAAGGAGCATTCATTAACCCGTATGGCATGACGAGATACTCGTAATGACCCGAGGTGGTACTAAATGCTGTCTTCCATTCGTCTCCCTCCCTAATACACACCAAGTTGTATGCGCTCATGAGGTCCAATTTTGTGAAGAACCGCGCCCCGTGTAAGGACTCCGTCATAGTCGCAATCAGAGGGAGTGGATAACTGTATTTCACAGTAATCTGATTGAGACTGCGGTAATCAATACACGGGCGCAAACCTCCATCCTTTTTCTTCACAAAAAAGAAACTCGAGGACGCAGGGGAAGTGGAGGGCCGTATGTATCCCTGTCTCAGAGACTCGGCTATGTAAGTCTCCATAGCTCTCTTCTCCTCTTGAGACAAAGGATACACATGGCTCCGCGGAAGCGCAGCTCCTACCTGGAGGTCTATCGCACA